ATGTGGTTTCTATAATTCTGTAGTTGTCAGATTTCCATTCAGCTCGATTTCTAACAGTTCTGAGTGATGGTTGTTCTGTATTTTAGTTGTAATTTTGGTGTGGTGCTAAAAAATTTTAGCACACAGAACTCAGTCATTGAATTCTTTACTCTTAAACTTTTAAATCATTTTTAAGGAGTATTAGTTAACTAGAAAAAAAAGTGTTGAAAACAATAAAATCAAACAGCAACAGAATTTTTCTCTAGTTCCCATACTATATGAATTTATTCAGTTAGTAAATATTGAATGCCTACCATGTACCACGTGGATCCATCAGAGAATAATACAGCAAAGAACTCTGCGGTCAGGGAAGGGAGTGGAAGAAAAGCGGGGGCGGGGGGGACCCACAATAAACAGTAGACATAAGAAATAAGTACAGTGTATAGCATGATGGAAATTGATAAATGCTAGGGATCAACAGCATGAGTAGGGGAGGAGTTAGGAGAGGGACCCTGCTCATGTAAGAATAGAACTATGGGAAGCCCATAAATAACTTCAGGGGGACAAAGGAGGCCTGGCTAGAACCGGTCAAATGGCAATTGTGATGTAACGTGGCGATGTAGATACATGCATTTAATGTTTTAGGCAATGACTTCATTCAGTAAATCACAATGGAGAATTGGAAATGTGGTATTGCCATACTGTATTTCAGTATACGGCATGAAGAAATAGGGAAGGATGAACTTGCAATTTTAAACTGGATGGTAACATAGTACACTCATAGAGAAGGTGATATTTGAGCAAAGACTTGGAGAAGATGAGAAAATATGAGGTCTGTCCAGAAAGTATCTGTTCATGTACTATTAAAAAAGGACATTTATTGCAGAAGGTACAAGATACAAGAAACCTTGTACATAGGACAATGATGCTTCAGTCCCCTTCAAAATAGGCACCTTGGTACTTCACACAGTTCTCCCAATCACCATCAGCTGTCCTGTCATATTTTCCTGAATCTCATTGACAGTCTGAAATCTCTTCCCTTTCAAAGGTGATTTTAGTTTTGGGAAAAGCCAGCAGTTGCAAGGCACCAAATCTTGGATGCAGAGGCGCTGAGTCACCTGGGTGATTTGATGTTTTGCCAAAAAACTGGGCACAAGATGTGATGCGCAAGTGGGCACATTGTTGTGAGGAAGCTGCCAATCACCAGTTGCCCTTATCTGTGGCCTTCTGAATCATCCGAATAGTTTCTGTGGAGACGGAGGAATGTTTGAGAGATTCATCGATTTGTTGCCTCTAGCATGCCCCGAGCTGGGGATCAGGCCCGCAACCCAGGCATGTACACTGACTGGGAATCAAACTGGTGACCTTTTGGTTCACAGGCCAGCACTCAGTCCACTGAGACACACCAGCCAAGCAATGAGCCATATATTTTAAAAACATTAATGTGTCTCATTTTTGAAGTTACCTATAGATAGATGGATCATTAGATATAGATCTATACATCTAAATACATATATTTCCTAGAAAATGTAATTTGGTGTTTCATTCATTTCCACCCTTCAGTCACACTGTATCAGGGAGACTATATGGCAATACTACATTTCCAATTCTCCATTTTGATGTACTGAGTGAAGTCATTGCCTAAAACATTAAATGCATGTATCTACATCACCACATTACATCACAATTGCCATTTGACCGGTTCTAGCCAGGCCTCCTTTGTACCTCTGAGGTTATTTATGGGCTTCCCATAGTTCTGTTCTTGCATAAGCAGGGTCCCTCCCCTCACCCCTCCCCTGCTCAGTGTGACCCCTGCCCCACAGTCTAAGTGGTCCCCTCTCATGCCAACAAAACAAGGGTGCCAGGCCTGGTCAGCTGCAGCAGCTGCTTTCCCCTTGGATATGTCCATTACCTACTTGAGGATACTTCCAGTGGCACTGCCAGTGGTTCTCCCCAGTGAGGACTTTAATGCCTGTCCCAGGCATCTGCTCTGGAAATTGACAAAGAGTCAGCCCCACCCTGGGGTGGGTGCTGAAGGGGGAAGAATGGCTGCTTCACACCTGAGGACTGTCTATTGTCACTGGAGCCTCAGCAGCTTCTCTCAAAGCTCTCACAAAGACAGCCAGCCGCCTTCCTCTCTCCCTGGGGCTCCAAGCTGACAACAGTGGCTGAGCTGAGACTGATTCTGACGTCCCCTCCATAGTCCTTTGTCATCACTCCAGTCTCTAGCACCCAATCGCTTCCTCCTCTAGCCAAAAATCCAAAAGCTCCCAGACACAGGTCAAGCAGATACAGAGCTTTCTCACATATGCTATCAGCCAGACATAGAATCCCAGTGCGAGGCGGGAAGCTGTTGCTCAGAAACAAAAGAACAACTCCCCTGTTTTCTGAGAGAGAATTCCATTTTGTGGCCAATTATTCTTTCCATTTTTTAATGGCCCTGTACAACTTCTAAATCTACCACATTTGGTGACCTGTTGGTGGCATTTTCTTTCTTTCTTTTCCCTTCTCTTCTTCCTTCCTTTCTTCCTCCCTTCCTTCCTTCCTCCCTCCCTCCCTTTTCGTTTTGTTTTTTGCCTCAACCTGTTGAATAGCAAATATCCCATTTTCAAACATTGATTTATCAGACCCTGATGTACTTTCAATTTGATTTATGTTTTGATCTCGTCATATCTAATTCTCTGTGCCTCCGTTTTCTCATCTTTAAAGTGGGGATAGACCTGACTGGTTTTTCTCAGTGGGTTGGGTGGCATCCCACAAAATGAAAGGTTGGCAGTTCAATTCCCAATCAGAGCACGTGTTGCCAGTTGGGGAGTGCAAAACACTTGATGTTTCTCTTGCACATTGATGTTTCTCCCCGTCTCTTTCCCCTCACCTTCACCTTTCTCTAAAAGTAAATAAATAAAATTTAAAAAATAAAATGGGGGTAAAAATACCTGTCCACATATATGTAAACCACTAGGCATAGTAGAAAACACATAAGTGCTCAGTGAATATTAGCTATTATCATAATCGAATTTTATTTTTTGTTTTACATAGATAGTGAAATTATTACCACAGTAAACTTAGTTAATACATCCATCACTTTATATAATTACTTTTTGTGGTGAGAACATTTAAGATCTACATTCCAGTGTGTGTGTGTGTGTGCGCGCGCGCGCGCATGTGCGTGCGTGCGTGTGTGTGTGTGTGTGTGTGTGTGTGTGTAGGACATTTTCTTTATCCATTCATCCATCAGCAGACACTTAGGTTGCTTCCATGTCTTGGCTGTTGTGGATGATGCTGCAATGAGCATGGCAGATATCTCTTCACAATAGTGATTCAATTTCCTTTGAATATAAACCCAGAAGTGGGACTGCTGGATCATGTAATAGTTCTATTTTTCACTTTTTGAGGAACCACCATACTGTTTTCCATAATGGCTGAACCAATTTACATTCCCACCAACAGGGTATAGGGTTTCCTTTTCTCCACATCTTCACCACCATGGCTTATGTTTTGTCTTTTTGGTGATCGCCATCCTAACAGGTGTAGGTGATTTACATTTCCCTAACCAACTAGTGATGTTGAGCATCTTTTCATGTAAATGTTTGCAGTTTGCTTGCCTTCTTTGGGAAAATGCCTATTCAGGTCCTTTGCCCATTTTTAAATTGGTGTTTTTAAATTGGTTTTCTTTTTAATTGGAAGATTGACCTCTTACAGATATATGGTTTGCAAATATTATTTCCCATTCTGTAGGTTGCCTTTTTTTAAAAAATTTTTATTGCTTCTCTTGCGGTTGTGGGGGAGGAACAAAATTTCCTATACCCTCAAGGTTCCTTTGGCTGGCCTGATAATGGAATAGACATGAGGCAGATTAGCAAGAGAAAATAATCAAATTTAATACACACATATGTATGGGAACCCTGTATACATATGTCTACATATGTGTGGGAAGAGTCAGAGACCCCACAAGTAAGAGAGATTCAGAAATAGAAGGGAGATTGAGGTATATAAGATATTCTGAGCTAGGGATGAGATTTTTCCCTGTTTTCTTCTAAGTATTTTATGTTTTCAGGTCTCACATTAAAGTCTTTCATTCATTTCAAGTTAATTCTCTGAACTTTTAAAAAAAATCCATCTTGGACATTCTTAATCATTTCACTCAGCTATTACCGAGTTAAATGATTCCAAATACCAAACACAATCTTTCTTGGCAGCATCGATATTTGTTGTAACAATCTTTCCCAGAGAGGTAGCTGTGTCCTATTCCTGCTTTTACCAAAAGTACTTCTGTATTTAACTGTTCCCTCCTTCATCAGGACTCTCCCCCCAGTCTTTAGGAAAACAGACAGATTTCCTGGGAGTTGACTCGTTATTTCAGTCTTTCGTTCATGAAGCAAGTATTTTCTGAGAATCTACTGCACACCACACTCAGTAGATGCTGAGGATGCAGGCGAAGCAAACAGCAAAACAATTCAGCTCTCAGTCTGCGAGGTGTGTGCGCACCCACATCACAGTTCAGGAAGCCAAGAACGCGGGGGCCACTCATCCGGCGTCTCCGAAAACTGGACAGGGCCCCTTCCCGTACGCCACTGTGCACTCCTTGGTAAGGCTTTGATGCCGAGAGAAGGGTTAAGCAAAGCAGAAGGGATGAGAGTGCCTGCAACTCAGGCAGAAAGTAAGCGCCGTTAAAGCAAGCAAGCGAGCCGCCAAGCAACACTCCCTAAAGAAGCACACGCTGCTGGCTTCGCAGGCTCTCCTCTCCGCCTCGGCTACGTGAGGACGGCTAACGTGGCCGCCCTCCAGGCACCAGGGGCTGCGGGAGGGGCCGCCCTTCAGGGTCCCACCCGTCTGTCCCGGGTCCGGAGGGTGCCCTTTGCTCCCTTAGGGTTCCGGAACTCGCCCAGCCTGTTCCAAGGCGAGAAGCCGGGTGGGCAGGGATGGCGGCCCCGCCCTGCCAGGGGCGGGGCGGGGCGGGGCGCGGCGGGGCGCGGCGGGCCTGGCTGGGCGTATTTGAGGAGCCGGTCTGCCGCCCCATCAGGGACAAAACGACCTCGCCAGGAGCCACACCCTGAGCGAGAGAGCGAGTGCCGAGGCGTAAGGTGAGTGTCTCAGGCTCCCGGGACGAGGGGATGGGGGACCCGGCCTGCTGGTGGCCTGGGTCCGGCAGGGGCGAGGGCGCTCGCACACCGCTGGGTGCGCAGACCCCTTCGGAGGGCTCAGGTGGGTACCTGGGGAGGCGGCTTGGCTCCCCGGGGCCCTGGGCTGCGGGCGGCAGGCCCGGACAGCTGGAGAGCCCCGAGGGGAGCGGTGGGTACCGACTGGACAGGCGTCTGTAGTCTTTGACGCCTCGAGAGATCGGACGCAGGGGAGTCAGCAACCTCTCACTAAGGCTCACGTACACCTGTCTCCTCCGGGCGGACGGGTGTGTCCGCAGACGCCGGGCGTGGACACAGGGCACCCTCTGCAGCGACTGGGAGGCTGAGCCGTGCGTCCCTCCCTCCCGCCTCTGGGCCACCTTGACTTCAGCCGGATTTGCCTGCGAGGGGTGGTGGAGGGACGCGCTCAAGATTGGTATCAGGGACCAGGCCCCCTACTCCAGCACACAGGTGTACTGCCCAGGGACTCTCTAGGGTGGCACCTGGGACCCAGGGCTTGGCTCCCTAGCCACTTGATCTTCCTGTGGGATGTAACTGAGTTCTTCCATCAACCCCAGCAGCGTCCGGGGTACAGCTGCTATCCGGATGCTGATTCCACAGAAAATGGTCCTGTCCCAAGGCCAGAGTGGTCATGTGCCCGGCTTGGCAAAGACCGAAAACCCTCAGCTTTTGCAAATCAGCGACCCATCCCTAGTCAGATTGGCTAATTTGAACATTAACGATCTCAGATCTGTGCTGAGGATGGAAGGTGGGGGTGGGGGTGGCAAAATGTTGGTCCGGGTATGTAGAACCCTAGTTGCAGTTGGGGTGTGTGTGTGTGTGTATTGAAAATACGTTTGAGGTTTATGCTGAATTCTTAGCTATGCAAATAAAAACACTGAAATGCATCCACTCTAAGGATTAGAAGCTCAGTACCAGGGAGTCAGGGACACACGGGTTGAGGCTGTGAGTTAGGTTTCAGGCTGGCCTCTTAAAGTCAGTCATTCCTGTTCCAGATACTGTGGAATATTTGTAAAGTGACTCTTGGGAGTTGGGTTGCTGGACAATGAGGACCGTCGCACCCCAGCTGCCCAGACTTTTTCCAGTATTCTGGAAAAGAAATGGAAAGAAGGCTCAGTGAATTCTGAAAAAATTAAAAAATGATAGCAATAAAAACTGACCACTTGGGCACAGAGCATAAGAAAACATTTTCATCACCTTCCAAAATTCTGACTCATTTGCCTCAAGGTTATGACATTTTTCTTTCAATACTAGAAAATTCTGTTTCCATAGAAGTTAAATTTAGTAATAAAAATGTGTTTTTCCACAATGGTCTCCTTTTCAGGAGTTGACTTTGATTCCCTAGAGTTTCTCATGCCTTTGATGGTGGGGCTTCATCCTTGATCTTTGGGAGGCTGCTTTTTAAATTCATAATGTTTGGGGAGGGGGTTACACCCAGAATCAGCACTTACTCCATATTCTGGGGAGAAATTTGATGATGGTCATTGAATGTTTGTGAGATTCATGGTCACTGATCTAAAACATAGCCTCTCCTGTGACTGTTTGGAACACAGACTCCTACTGAGGACAGCTAGGTAGCATTCTGCCTGGTGTGGGAACCAGCTCTTCTCATTAAATGCTGAGTGGTAAGCCTGCCGGGATAGTGCTTGCTGTAGGCTTATAATTTGCTGCCAAGTATCGTGTGTTCTCTCTTGACGGATGTTCAGCTTTTCCATAGGGGCAAAAAAAATCAGTAACTGAGAGGCACAAAGTAACTTAACCTTCCTTGATGGAGAGGAACTATGATGAGAAAGAAATCCTATGAACGAACCAGTTTCCTTTATTCCAACTCATTCTCACTGAATTTGGCTTTGGAAAGTGGACTTTCCTCAAGTCCTTCTCCGTGCTTAGCAAGGGCAGGAAGCAGACTGCCTCGCCTGTGTTCTTGGAAGAGGAGTGTGGGCAGGGCCTTGGGGTTCTGTGGAAACACTTCATGATCTACTTCCCTTATGCCTTGTGTAAAGGTCTGAGACCTTTGTGCACAGAAATTTCAGAGATGCTCCTGGGAACCCCAGCAACTGGATTAATCACTGGGTGAGCCTAGAATAACATAGTAGTGTAAAATAAGGCTCTTTATTAACAGGTAAAGCTACAATTAACGAATGATTAAAATGGCCAACCTTCAGACTCATGTTTAAATTCCTTATCCCAAAGTAAACTGAACTACTTCCTGTAGGTTTTTTCCAAAAATGAAGAGCCAGGTAGTATTTCCTGTATCTTTCTGTTTGTCTTTAATGTAATTTTTCTGATTCTGGAATGCCAGAATACAGTTTGCATATGTATAGATTCTGTAGAGTGAGAAGGCTTTTTTAACATCTGATTGTCTCTCTCTATGTAAACTGTCATCTTGAAAAAAAGATAAATAAATATATTTTCCAGGCAAGTAAGGAAGATATTTATCTAAATAGATGTTTTTTGTTGTTATCTTTATTTTTGTGTGTGTGTGTTTTTTTTAAGTTCTAAGGTTGCTAACCTTGATTTCAAAAGAGCATTAGTTATAACCCTTTTCAAAAAAGAGATCTGATGGTTAGGAGTTGACAAAATTAAAAGAGTGCACACCCAATATTTGGAAATGTATACATTATTCATTTAAATGTGTTTATAATTAGCCAAGTGACTGTGCAAAATGACATTCTTGTGTTCAATATCACTGCCCACTGAGCCACCCAGCTAGTTTTCTAACAAAAACATGATCCTTTTCAAATTTGTTTACAATTTCAGCATGTTATGTAGTTCCAAATGAATAAGCTAGATCATTTCTAAATGAGGTAATTAACACTTTCAAAGAACTATACTTTAAAATTTCAAAATGTGAGGTTCTATATTAGTGTAAATTGAGCCTGAATTTGGAGTCAGGTTGCTTGGACCCTGGTCCTTGGCCTGCTAATGACAGAATGGCTTTGGGTCACCATATTACCTCTCTGAGCCTCAGTTTCCTCTCCTCTAACGTGGGAAGATTAACTTTTCCCTGTCAACCTCACAAGATTACTATCAGAGTCAGAATAGGTAAGGCATGTGAAAGTGCTTTGTAAACTGCAAAGCACCGCACAAATGCAGGGTGTAATTATTTCTGATGGGCTTGTTTAATGTGTCACAACACAATCGAAACAGTCATCCAAGCCATTATGTGAAGCACAATGGAAATAAAGTGAAATCTGCTGTTTCTCAAACTGTTTTGGTTGTGTTGGAAAAGAAATGGAATGTGCTTGAGCAGAGATGTTGAAAAGAATGACTGTTAAATTTTGGAAATGCCGTCTTTATGTGAGTTTCTGGTTGTAATCAGCCATCTTAGTTTGATTGGAGTTATGATAATAAACACTTTATGAAGCCAATGGCACAGATTTAGCCAGTTTTAAGAATTGAAACTATCTTTGTTTTTTGCTGACGTGTGTATGTACCTGCATGTAAGGGTACACATGCTAATTAGCCTAGACCAGTGGTTCTCAACCAGGCAGATTTTGCCTTTTCCCCACTTCCCTTAATGATATTTGGCAATGTCTGAAGATGCTTTTGGTTGCCACAATTGATGGTGGAGGGGGAGGTGCTACTGACTGTGCTTTGAAGCCAGGGATGCTGCTAAACATCCTACAATGCACAGGATAGCCCCCCAAAACTAAGTATCCGGCCTGAAATATCAACGGTGCTGAGGTTGGGAATAAACCCCTACACAATGAGAATATTCAAAAGAAGTGAGAACACATATACATTTACTTCTGGGTCTTTGGTATGCTGCCCAGCGGTGGAAGGAGAGTATGTAATCAAAGGAACCAAGCTCTCTGTCCACCATGAAGTTCGAGATTGTTTTCTACTAGTATTTAGAATGAGAGAGGCTTTATTTTCTTGACTTAAGACGTGTCCTTTCTTTTCCTTTTCTGTAACAAGTCTTCTCTCAAGATCCTCCTGTGGGAGCAGCACAGTCTTCCAGGCAGTGTCAGCCTTTTGGAGAAGGAAGCACAGGCAGAAGAGCACCCAACTTTTGCTTTAAAAGATCAACTACTGTAGGAAATACAGCGACTATAAACCCTGGGAGAGTCGCTGTGACTTCCCCAATTGCCCGCAGTTTCCCACCTTGGAAGATGGACATGGTGATAACCGGTTTCCAAATATGTTTGAGAATATGCCCAGATTAAAAGAGACGTACAAAAAAAATAAACGATCTGATGTATGTGAATGAAGCGCACAGGAAGTTCTAGGAGGAGCTCTGTTTGAGCTTTTACCAAAAAATCTAGTATTTGACATATTGAGGACCTATCAAGTAGTCACCATTGGTTGGATCTCTTGGGGCAATGTCATTTCTTAAAATAGCAGAGTAAATGTATCACACGTGGGCAACTCTAGGAAAACGAGATTCTGATAGTTTAAGGTCCAGGTAATTCCAGCCATAACACAGGTAATCCCGGGCTGAGCAAACTGGACCGGCCCTCAGCAGCCTGAAGCTGCCCCCCACCTCCCCACGGGAGTTACCCGCTGTGGGAGGAGCTCTGGAACACCCTGGGCTGCTGGGGGGAGGGGCAGGAGGAGTCAGGAATGGTGTCTCCAGGCCATCCTTTGAGGCAGCTTTTGACAAGGCAATCCCTCTTTGCCTCACCCCGAAATATTTTCCTCCACATTGCCTTTTTTTTTCAACTTTGTTTTGTTATACTGCCAAAGATTTCATTTGGAATAACAAGTATTTTTTTAAAAAGCAAGCATTTTGTGCTTGTCTTTCTTCTTCACTGCTCCACATCCCGATCTCACCTCTCCTTCAAGGCTTAGTGGCTTAAATCACACCCTCCTCCCTTAGAAGTAATTGCTCTGGTTGTGACGTCCACAGCACACAGTCTGGCTCGCAGCTGGCTGCAGACTCCTCGGCCGTGCAGATCTTGGACTATCCACCTTCACACCCAGAAATGAGCCTGCACTGTGCCTGTGCAGAGCGGGCATGCGCGGGTGTAAATGAAGGCATACAGAATAGTCCTTCAGATCTCAGTGGGAATCAATAAACTCTGCTTTCCCTCTAAAACCCAGAGGAGGCCTTGGGGTGTCAGTGAGAATGGGGTCAGGGGAGGAGTGCCGAGTGACATTAATGTGCAGAACCCTTTGTAAGATGTGGTGGGGAAAGAGCACAGGAAGGGAGGTGAAGGCCGAGGGAGGTGAAGGCCGACGCAGGTGGACCAGGACTGTGTTCATTTGTTACCCACTAATAGGCTCAGAATGTTTTCTTCTTCGGTCTTCTCTCTCCTGCATTGTATGGTCTCTTATTCCCAGGATTCAGAACGCAGAGCTCGTGTATTAGAGTTTCATGTTATGGGTTAAATAGGGTTTGGTAATCTGGCTGGAGTGCATCTCCCCGCTTCGATGAGATTTTTTTGTGGTTCCATGCTATTGATTTGAACATATTTTGGAAACAGATTGGCTTGTACTAGAAGAATGCCTATAAATTGACTGGAACTACAGAGCAAACTATTTGTGATGTTAAATTTAAATGGAAACTTGTGAAATCTTTTCAGATTAAATCATAACCTATTGTCTTTTTTTTCTCCTCTCAGGAAAATGGCGGACAACTTTTCAGTAAGTGTTTTATGTCTGTTTTCTTACATTTTAAATTCATGTAGGTGGAGAGTTTTGTTCTTACCACCAGACTTTCTCTTCTAACTCTTACAACACGTGCCCTCCTCTGGCCTCACCTGTCCAATGAGGGCTTGTGGGCCGGAGTCTTGGTTTTCCAGCAATAGACTTGGGAAGAAAGCCAGGTAGAGAGAGGCCTGGGACTCACTAAGAGTGACCCCTTTATCAAAAGGCCTGGGACAGAAGCGGGTAGATTCTGTGGGTCAGGAGCTGAGAAATAAGCTGAGCAATGGGAAACCTGAGCCTCCTGATTTTTGTCATTGTTTTTCTCAGGTCGGTTAGAAGGTATGTGCTTTTACATAGAGGATGGATAGCTCTGATTTTAGCAAATTATGAAAATGCAACCTTCCTCAATATGAGATGGTGGGAGACATCCTGATAAAACATATATAATCCCAAAGCCTAATTTCAGTCTTTGGGACTCAAAACTATTTAATAGGTGGAAAAGTTTTGATTGATATGAATTTCATACCTTCCCCATATCCCTCCACTTCATAGGTCTCATATTCCTTTTCTGGAAAGTTCCATTCTTGTGACTGTTTTTCATCCAGTAATTGTTTATATCTTTCTTTCCAGCTTAATGATGCCCTCCCTGCTTCTGGGAACCCAAACCCTCAAGGATGGCCTGGTGCATGGGGAAACCAGCCTGCTGGCGGGGGGGGCTACCCAGGAGCTTCCTATCCTGGGGCCTACCCCGGACAGGCACCACCCAGCGCCTACCCCGGACAGGCACCACCCAGTGCCTACCCTGGACAGGCACCACCCAGCGCCTACCCCGGACAGGCACCTCCCGGCGCCTACCCTGGTTTTACAACACCTGCTTATCCCGGGCCAAATGCACCAGGAGCCTACCCCGGACAACCAGGTGGGCCCGGGGCCTACCCTGGTGCCGGCCCCACTGGTGTCCCCACGGGACCACTGGTAAGATGGCATTAGTCATTTCATGTACTTGATTGTGCCCAGAACAGAGCTAAGGAAGAACACAGCAATTACCTGGGGCTGTAGAGCCATCATTTTACAGTATTCTGGCTGGGAGCTTATTCTGGGCATTGACCTGTAAAGGGTTTCAGGTACACCTGAACCTTTAAACTTACTGCTTAGAGCCACTTTTCAAAGACCAGACATGGTGGGTGTTGGTCCAATAGAAAAAATAGTCATTGAGCTTAGCATGTGTAGTGTTGGTATAAAGATAAGCTAATGTATCTTTTGAAACCATCTGTAAAGCAGCCGTACTATAAATCAAGAGCATAGTAGTGAGGGGAAGTTTTTGTTATTATTATTAATAAACACTGAGTAAATGCGCCAGTGGTGTGCTTCTGTATGGATGATCTCATTTGACTCCATAACCACTCTGTAAGATACTGTTATTATCCCCATTTTACACATGAGGAAATGGGGCAAACAAAGAATTATACATCTTGCCCATGATTATAGAGAGAACATGCGGGGAAACCAAGGTAACCTAGTTCTGAAAAACTTATAATGATAATTTTGTAATCTAAGGATTGAATTTTCATTTATATTAAAACACATTTTAGTAAATAAATTCTAAGTGCAGAACCTTAACTATGTAGGACTCACACACATCTCAGACACAGATCCTTTCCTTCTGGACTTAGAGTCTAGCTGAGAAACGTGCAGCTATGAGGAAAGAATTCAGCAACAGCTTGGGATCAGACCCGTTCAGGACTATGCAGAAGATGGCACAGGTAGCATCTGATCTGCATCTAGGTCAGCTTAGAAGAAAGTGCAGAGAATGTGTTTGGAGTGTGGGCCGCATCGGGCAGGGCCTAGACCATGGACAATTAGTCCACTGCAGATAGAGGGGGACGCGGAGGCAGGCAGGAGAGAGATCGCAGAGGAAGAACCCTAGAACCTGCTGGTTAAGTGTTAGGAGTCAGAGATGACTGGCTTTTCAAGGCAGGACAACTAGGGCACCAGCCAAAGGTCAGCCAAAACCCGGAACTCAGGAAGGGGACAGATGGGGGAGGGGCCAGGAGGAACAGTTCCCGTTCATACCTCTTGAATTTGCAGCATAGAGCAAATCCAGAAGGAGGAAGAATGGGACTAGTACAGATCAGGGCTAGAGATAAAAGACTTGGAGGATAGTTGAACCCGGGGGAAATTATAGAGGGAAAAAAGAAGAGGTCAGTGATAGAGCTTTGAGAATATTTACAGTACCTTGAGCATAAATTTTTGATGAATGAACTAGGAAATGTATTAACTGGAAGGTGTTCATTTCACATACTGAGTATCTGCCCCATACTAAGTACTCTGCTGGTGCTGTGAGTAGAACATATGAGAACGCAGAAGCCCAAGAATGTGACATGATGAAGTATGTTATGTGACAAGGGCCTTAAGAGTGGTACGAAAATGTTAATGCTGATTGTAAGGTCTAGCTTAAGCCCTATCAAAACATAGTCTAAGTGAATGAATTATAGATTGGGATGTACGTAGTAATAAGAGCTACCATGCTCCAAAAAGGACTGTGTTCTGCCTTTGGCACTAATTGATTAATGGATTTAGTCTCGATTATTAGTTGTGCATGTAGGGAACCTTATCTCTTTGGACCCTGGGCACGGTGGCCAGAGAGTCTGGACAGATGGCTTAAATTAGGGTTATGTGTTATTCACACATATTAATAGGGATTTAATTTCAGCAACATATTTTTCTTTCTCCAAGAAAACTTGACTATTGATACATATTTTTTTCATCCTCAGACTGTGCCTCACGACCTGGCTTTCCCTGGAGGAGTCATGCCTCGCATGCTGATAACAATTACGGGCACAGTGAAGTCCAAGGCAAACGGGTATAGAGCAAAATTTGAAAGTCTAATATATTTGTTGATTGATTTTTGAATAACCGCTGATTTATTTTGAAGTTTAATAGAATTTTTAAGACTACACATTTAATGGCTTGGCTCTACCATAGTATGGGATTATTCCATAAATCAATACGTGTTCCCAACCAGGGCACAAGGTTTCCTTTGCCCAATCTTGTTTTTCTCCCAGAACCTAAAAAAACCCCCCAAAAACAAAAAAACCAGAGTTCTGTGTTGTGAGGACAAAGAGGAAGAGCAGAAAAACCTATTCTGATGGTCCTTCCTGGCAGTGAAAACCTTAGCTTTAAAGGAAAGTAGAGCCTTTGTAATGTCACGCTTTGACATCCCTCCACCTCCGAACCATATAGCGTCTGAAAAACCAAGCATGCACTTTCGCTTAGATGCCCATCAGAAATGAGGATCCGAAACCAAAAGCTCCCACTGGACACAGTGGTGAGTTGATCTGAGAGCTGGAATGTGATCCCATGTGTCCTCAAACAAGTCTCCCTGCAGCTGAGCAGGGCACAGCGCAGCCTCAGAGCTCTCGAGCTGGGCTGCCCTGCCTGACTGCATTGGGTGCAACTGCAGAGTCAGGTTCCCACGATGCTGGCCTTGTCTACAGATGATAAGTGGCAGGATGGGGAACCCAAGTCTTCTGAGTAGTTATTATTTATTGAAAAGGTTCAGAAAGATTGTACAATTTGAAGACTTCATCAGAATAAGTCAACCATCCCCATGGGAACTGGTTTGATTGAGGTGAGCTAGCATGGGGTAAGACTTTGAGCTCCTTCAGGAAAAATACATGCTGATTTCCGGCTGCCCTGGGACACTTGGCTCTGGTTGTCACCACGGGCTGTATAATACTTGTTTATAATACAAGCAGGCTAGGGAATATCCTGAGGCCATCCAGTATGCCTGTCCCTGAGGTTAGTGGTGCCACCAAAGCTCCTGCAGCCATTAATTAGTGTACCTCTGGTTTTTATAGGCAGTATATAAAAGACACACAAACAGCCTCTTTGAATGCCTGTCACCTGGCTCCTGGTGAATCAACAGGAGCCACTTCCTCTGTTACCAGGAGACAGATTGGCTTCTGATCTGATCATTTTACATTTAAATAGCCTATTCATGCCAGCCTCTAGACAGCCTCTGGGTCTACTCCATAGTCACCACCCTAAGGCAACTCCTTTCCACAGAGCTTATATAGCTTCTCTAAACACAATACTTCCCTGAACAATAAAGCTTGTCTCAGAGCAAACTGCAAAACGTATATATTCTCTGCTTATGTTCGTATCCTCCTTTCCTCCCAACACAACATAGAACTCAGTACACCTTATTGCGTGCATGCAGCACTCACAATTTGTTAATGCGTGCTCTCCTCCTACAACCCTTATTCCTCAGAACCACGCTGGTATCTTTGCCTTTATTCATGGATATTGAACTGGAAACTTCAGCTCCAATTACACTAGAGATGTAGATCGACACTGTGGCAAATCAGAACTAATTTTGGTTGAAATGGTTAAGGTGCTAGTAAACTGAAAGAAATGTTGCTTGGTCCTACAAATTCTATGTAAGGAATTAGGAGGAAAAAAGAATGCTTAAGGTTGGAGAAATGACAATATCTTCCTTTTCCCTGAAGAGGGAATACAACCATTGGATATTTAGTCAAAATACAACTTCTATTGCTATTTGTCTATTTTGGTCCTTTCCCTGTGAATACTTCTGTGGTTGGGCAGGTTACCAACAAATTCCCAGGGAATTATTGTTAGTAGGTCAGGAGTGCAGATTTTGCTTTAAAACGAGAGCACCAGCGGATTCCGATGTGAGAGCTCTATGGAGCGCACTTTGAGACATTGGGGGATCCAGCTGGTAGTTTTAACGGTCAGTGGACTTGTGTTTGCATTAACATCCAAGGAGAAGGAATGGGGTCAGGAAGTTGCACTTCACATCATGGAAAGTTCAACACATTTATTGTCATGATTTTAGAACTTAGCAACCAGATACCGAACATTAACTGTGTAATCTCAGAGTATGTTCTTAGTTATCAGGAGGAAGCCGGGATTGATCTCCCATTTATGTGACTGGCTTGCCATCAATAGATATTAAAAGCAACCTGGCAGGGCAGGAAGGAGGTAACTATTGTCATATGCAATGCCCTCAAAGTGGCCTCAAACCTCTATGAGGAAAGTGGAAACAGAAACATTAGACACGTGGAACAGACTGACAGCCGCCAGAGGGGAGGGGGTTACTGGATGAAAGATGGTGGAGGGATTAGTCAAAGAACACTTGTGTGTGATCCGTGGGCAAGGACAGCAATATGGGGATGACTGAGGGAGGGGAGAGGGTGGGGCTAGGTGAACGTGGGAAAAGGGAGAAAAAAAGGAAACAACTGTAATAGCATAAACAATAAAAAAATAAAATTTAAAAAACCTCTATAAGGAAACCTTGAAGGGTTTTCATGAGAGTAGGGGGTGGCGGGGTGTAAAGAGGGAGTTGCAGAGAACAATGTAGCTAAAGACAATGAGGCAAAACAATTCAAGCGCATATTGCCTCGCTTGCTTTTAGATACTCCAGTGCTGCATCGAATACTTGGCCTAGTATACAGTTCGAACCTATTCTCTGGTTTGTTTTCTGTTTAGAAAATTTTCCTGTATTTTATAAAATGATTTTCTCTTTTAGAATATCATATATTCTTTATTTGATACAAATACACCAACTTGAATCATTTTACTAACTCTGGTCTTTGGTTTAAACAGAATTGTTTTAAATTTCAAGAGAGGGAATGATATCGCCTTCCACTTTAACCCACGCTTCAATGAGGACAATAAGAGAGTCATTGTTTGCAATTCAATGATGAATGGTAGCTGGGGCCGGGAAGAAAGACAGCCAGTTTTCCCATTTGAAAGTGGTAAACCATTCAAAGTAAGTTAATGCTATTATTCTATATTGATAATGCCTATTGCTCACAGGGAAATCACTCTAAAACCATGATGCACTTGAGATGAATTTTATTATTTTTTAAAAATTGATTTTAGAGAGAGAGGAAGACAGGGGAGAAAGATACATCGATTTGTTGTTCCACTTATTTATGCATTCATTGGTTGCTTCTTGTATGAACACACAGCCTTGCTGTATCAGAACAGTGCTCTAACCAACTGAGCTCCCTGGCCAGGGCATTGGAATGAGATTTTCGTCAGCTGTCCAAGGACACCGAACCAGCTCCTCCCTATCCCAGAGACCAGGATCAGCAGGCTGGGACATGGCCAGGAGTGGCACGCTCCCCAGCTCCACCCTGTTACCGCCCTGAGTTTAAGCTTTTCTGGAAATGAGGAAAATAGCATCTTTAATAAAAAAGGCAGACAGTCTCAGTGGGACTGAAACTTAGTTCCTTAAAAAAAAAACCCATCGTGGCCTAACATTCAAAACTGAAGTTTTTTTTAATTAAAAAAATTAATTTAAAAATTAATTACAGATGACATTTAATATTATATTAGTTTCAGATGTACAGCATAAATTTTTTAAATTCTGAAATACATGCTTATGAAAGGAAATATGTATATTTTTAAATATTCTTTAAAGTTTTATTTATTTTTAGAGAGGGGAAGGGAGAAAGGGAGAGAAACATCAGTGTGTGGTTGTCTCTTGCACACACCCTACTGCGGACCTGGCCCTCAACTCAGGCATGTGCCCTGGCTGGGATTTAAACCAGCAACTCTTTGGTTTGCAGGCCTGCACTCAATCCATTGAGTCACACCAGCCAGGGATAGATTTTTAAATTAACTAAGAAGTCCTCCATTCTTTACCTCCCAAAGTTTGCAACTTGGGGTATATCTTTCCAGTATTTTCTATGACATACAGTGTACTTCTTATTTTTAAGCACAGCTTCACCAATATTTATTCCATTCACAGTGCTGTGTTAGGATTGACTGTAGAGTGGGCAATAAAGCAGCTAGATTATAAGCTCCTCAAGGGCAGAGACAAATAAGGAGCACAATCTACATTTGGTGGACATCTTTCAGTATCAGAATATTTTTATTTAATAGTATTTTGTTGTTTAGGTATGTGATAATTTAACCAATACCTTGCCGATGAAAATTTGGAAATATTACAAAAAAAAAAAACCCTGGAAATATTTTATTTATGTATTTTACTAAATACTATACTATTTGTATGAATCTTTGCTTTCTAGAAGAACAACTTTAAAGACTACACGTTTAAAACTTAGATATTGCCAAAGGGCTACTTCCAATAGCATGTAGGGATTACCACCTCCACTAGCTATGGGAGGGCTGTTTTCCCTGCTCTTGCCAAAACTGGTTATCCATCTTCATAACATTTGCTCCTCTATTAGGACTTTAGTGATTATTTTTACTTTTAATTTTAGGTGGTTTAGGCCATATAAAAACTTCTCATGTAGACACATTATTTATGTAGACATCATTTTTTCCTTTGTGGCTTCTAGTATATAACCTTCTAAAAATTTTGTCATTTTGTTGTGTTTAAATCTTTGAATAATCTGGAGTTTTGGGTTTGTTGGGGTTTTTTTGCTGTAAAGTTACTTTTTCTGGACTTTAGTCCGTTATACAAATGATCATAAAAATGAAATGTGGACACCCTGAGCTCAGGACAGACCGGCTTTGAAATTAATGGGCATTTCTCACAGTTTTGTGTATGTGTCATTTCAGATACAAGTACTGGTTGAATCTGACCACTTCAAGGTTGCGGTCAATGATGCTCACTTGTTGCAGTACAATCACCGGATGACAAATCTCAAGGAAATCAGCGCAGCGAACATTTCTGGTGACGTCGATCTCACCAGTGCTTCATATTCCATGATATAATCCAAAGGGGCAGATCTTTTTTAAAATAAAATTGAATGTAAACTTTACGCATTTAAAACTTTCACGTTTACTTCAAGTGAAAAATTTTACCTTTATTCAATGTCTTTCTTATAAATCATCCATTTAATAAATATTCTAAAAGTTACCTGTTTATATGTGATTTAATTGGGGCAGTTTATTCGTGATAATGAACAGTAGACTCAATGGTAAAAGAAACATGTAGCAATATTAATATTAGAATAGTTTTCTATACTAAAATAGTTTTAAAGAAATAGGAGTAAATACTACCCAAACATTAACCTTGCTCTTCCTGAGTTAAAACAAGGAAAGCACTCTCCTATTTTCCAAGAAAATGGTCATATTTTCAGGAAATGAGAAAAGTAGAGAGCATACCCATACATGATATATGACCATAGGCAATTACTGTTAGCATTCCAGTATATTTCTTCTGGGTCATTTTAAGTCTTATTTTCGTTCTGAACTCGACTTCACTGCTTTCAAGTCCATTTTGGATACCAATGTGAGCCTCTTTCTCCATAGGATTCCTTGGTTTTTACAAAACCTCCAGATTTGTAGAGGGTGGGGGAGTAGTTTCTCCATTAGATATATAGTCAGCTTCAAAAATTTAGTAGTTCCAATCCTCAAGATTCTTAACCATGCCTTTCTGTCCTTCCTATTATCAGCAAACCCAAAGAATAAAATTTCAAAACTAGGATGTAGTCACACCACTTCCTTTTTTAAAAGACCAAAATATTTATTTTTTCTATTCTACCGTCTTCTCAAATTGGTTTCCCCAGGAAGCAGGGATAATACAAGAGGTCTATCAGGGAATGCTCTTGCAATCAAGAGCTGTGGGGACAAGAAGGTACACAATGGGGCAGAGGAAGAAGTTGAACATGAATGCCTCAGCCCACCCTCCAGGGGGTCTGAAGCTGGGATGACCATTTCGAGTACTTGAGGGGGACAGGTCTTTGTATGCTGACTTCAGTCAATGAACACAGGGCCCCTGGGTAACAGTGAAATTGGGTGAAGTGGCTCTCTTTACCCGAGGCACTTCTTGTAGTGGGTGACAGCTGAGGGTTGTCTGCGCTTGCAGCGACTGAAGGAGTAAGCCTCTCTGCAGTCCTTTCGAGGGATCTGAGCAGCACATCCCAGCACATTTTGAAAACTAAATTCCTCACCCTAACATTCTGGTCTCGATTGTTCTATGATTAAATGGAAGAACATAAGCTTTGGAGAAAAGAGGACACTTGGTCTATACAAAATTACTTAAACCCCTGAACCTTGGTTCCTTTGTCTGTAAAATGGGTGGCACAGATACATCTCTTTGTAGGATTACTGTGATTGTTGAATAAACATTGCTTGCAAAGGGGCTATTACACAGTAGGTCATCAAGTAATGAACATTCCCTTTGTTGCGATTTTGGAAAGGGTCTTGTTCTACCCAAGCAGTTTTGTATCATTGTCTTTAAAGATTTTCCTAATACCTCATAATTCTGGAGTCCAATGGCCCAAGAACACTCTATCTTGCTGTAGGGGACACTGAGGCCTACCTACACAAAATCCATTCCCAGTGTCCTAATAATTGCGGTTTTACTCAGGTATGATCCCAGAATTGGTAGGGAAGCATTAGTTTAAGTCAATCCCCTGCTGCCTCTTATTGATCTGCAGATGGTCATGTGGTATTAGTTAGCCTAACCAGACCATAGGGAAGGACATAGCTCTGATTACCACAGCCATATTATGACCCCAAAAGGACCCAGCCTCACAGAAGTGTCAAGGATGACAGAATGAACTAGAAACAGGATGCTGGATCTGATGCCTTCATTGAGCTGCTGATTGTAAAGAGCCTAGAATCACCCTGACAACTTTTGAAATAATAAATTTCCTTATTGCTAAGCCAGTTTGAGTTAATTTTACTATTACGTAATAGCCAAAAACTTTCTAAATGATTCAATAATACATTTTATTAAACCTACCCCTCACCCCCGACAATCATCTTTACTCACATTGTCTTATTCTCATCTATGTTATTTTACTATGTTGCATAGATTCTAAGTCTTGGGTTACTTTGTATCAACCTCTTATACATGTTCATGGCCCTGTGCCCCGGAACACCCTTTTATGCATGCTTCTTTGTTCTGCATGTTTTGCTTGAATTGTTCATTAATGAAAAAAGCTATTTTTATCTTTTGGTAAGACATTAGGCATTTAAAGACCATTCTTCTAAGATGGTACCCACAGAGCCTCCCAGCTGCTCGCATGGCTTTAACCAATACTGTCTTCCCACAAGCCTAACACTCTTTCCTCTGACAACAAAAGGACAAGTGTTTTCTTGTTTGAAAACCCCTAATCTTAGGGGGGTTTATCCATACAGTTCCTGTTTATGGGTCAACTCCTTTGAAGGCAGAAGCAACTGGCCCCGGGTCTGGTTACAAGTTTCAGCTACTCTGAGTCTTCTTGGCGCTCTGTTATTCAGATGACCCCGTCTTCTACAAACCTATAGGTAAGTGTTTTATAAGAGAAAATACTTCAAACACATTAAATGATTGATGTAATTCTCTTCAAAGAAAGCATTTCCTTCAGAACCTGTCAGTCATGTCAAGGGGAAAATAAAAAAGGCAAGAATTTAATGGGCGCCTATGTAACCATTTGAAATTGCAACATGTAAACTGACATCAGCATCCAGAAAGCTCATCTAAAGAAACTCAGTATACCCTGGAAAATGCAATACATAAAGCCGTTTAACATCAACACACTGAAAAGTTTGTATTAAAAATAAAGTATGAAAGGACACGACATTTCTGTCAGTTTAGTATTATATTTTGATTAGGCTGAAGGGTATTCATTAGCTCTGAGTAAGTGTTGTTACCTTTAAGCGTATACATTTTAAAGAAGAAAGGCGAGGCACGGTATACCTTTTATTTTGCATGGCTATTGTACAAAATATCCCCACTTCCCTTGAGAAACAGCACCATATCCAAAACACACTTTGATGAACACTGAATATTAAAACATTGCATAACACTATATAAACGGATTGAATAGAAGTGAACAAAAATACCAAGTCTGCATCCTTTCGGTATTCTAAGAATATACCACAGCATTGATGATATGAAGGAACATGTTTGGAATTATTTTTAAATTCAAAATTCTTCTGGTTGTTCTCCGCTGAGTGGCCTTAGAGGTGAAAAGGTAATCAGGTTACCTCCAAAGGAAATGTGTTTGGCCTGTTCTCGCCGTCTCCTCCCCACAGGAGTGAATGGATTACTACAGTTGAGGCCTGGCTAGAGAACAAGTTCAGAAAGTCACTTAAGGAACAATCAAGAGTTTCATCAATTGATTTTGACATTGCAAGTTAAGAGTAAATTATAACATCAATAGCATCTCCCCACATAACAATCAACTTATTAGTAACATAATGATTGAACAACTTTCCAGATCTAATTTCACATATATAGTTTTTAACTGAAAAGGTATATTCAAAATATATGCCTAAAAGGAGCTTAGCAACATGTAAATGTACTTCAGCAGCATATGCATGATGAATAAAAATCACATCTGCAGACTTCACAAACCTACTCTAATCATACAACAGCACCTAATAGGCCTTTTACTAGAATGTGATCCTGCTGGGATCCCTTTTATTTGTCCCCCCTCAAATCCTACTTCGGGTTCAAATGATGCTACAGAGTAAGTAATATTTCAATCTAAAATAGACAGATGAACCTATAAAAATTTTTAAAAATATAATTTCTAATATTTATGGAAGTGAAAAAGAACTCATAAGGAGACTAAATTATAAGGTACTAAGATTAATCAACAAGATAATGTATAAGATGATTGTGAAGCAATTTTATTGTATTACTAATATATCAAAAACAGAATAATATGATTAATTTCTACACTTATTTATAATATCATATAAGAACAAGTTATTCAGAGTTCAGATCTGGGAACAGGACTAAGTCAGATGTATATAAATTGGTCTTATGCTGAAGTCCCTGGCCCTCTAGGTCTTAGCCTACGATTAAAGAAGGGTGAGACCAAGAAAGAACGGAGTCTGGGTCACAGTAACAAACTTCATTCTGCTCTGGAGATACAGGGCAGCCCAGAAGCCTGAATGCAAAGAAGGCAGCTTTGAAAGATAAGGAAAGCCAAGGTATACATAGGTCCTTAAGGAATTAGTGGCTTAAGGAAGCCAGGCAATAGTTGTTGTTTGACCCTATGCTTGCCTTAATTTTTTTATGTTCTGAGGTCAAAGTTTAGCAAATCAAGGCCATTTCCTGACCCATTTTAAGATTTTTTATTTCTTGAGGTAGGTCTATATTGTTATTAATGTCCCTCTTTGAACCGCTTTTGCTGCATCCTATAGACTTTGGTATGTTGCAATTCTATTCTAATGTATCTCTAGGTATTCTTCATTTCTTCAGTGACCCACTGGTTGTTCAGTAGCATATTATTTAATCTTCATGTTTTTGTGGTTTTCCCAGTTTTCTTCTTTTAATTGATATGACTTCAATCTTCTTCAATTTATTAAGATTTGTGTACTAACATGTGGTCTATCCTGGAGACTATTCCGTGTGCACTTGAGAAGAATGTGTATTCTGCCATTTTTGGATGGAATATTCTGTATGTATCTATTAAGCCCATCTGATCTAATGTATCATTTAAGCCTGATGTTTCTTTTCTTCTTCTTTTACTTTTATTAGCATTTCTTTTCATCTGAATTTACTCTGGGTCCCTAAGTTTTGTTTATTCAGTTTCTACTGGGATATGATTTTCTTCTGTGAACCCTCCTCTTCTGGTTTAGGAACAATCCGCTCTCTTTCACTAAGGATCATCAAAATGTGACAGGGAGAGCTCATTAACCCACGCATGAACTCTAAGTTCTGTGCCACATCTTGGGTGTTCTGTTCACCTGGATTTGTTCAATGACCAGATAACCTACATCTAAACCCTTAAATTCATTATTACACTCTGCATTTTTAAGCCTGTGTAGCAAAAATTCAGCACTCTTTTTGGGCCACT